TTGATAAGAACCTTTTGAGTGCCTTACACAATGGTCTTTCTTGTGCGTTTTTTGTCAACGTGGTGAAAGAGGCATCCAATATCTTGAAGACTTTTTTGGAGCAAGAATTCTATCTGCCCCTATGGATCTCATCTTGAGTAATAAAATGGAGGCTTGGGTGAAAATAAAAAAGGGAAACAAAACTATAGAGCAGAAACACAGCTCAATTTTCTATACCTTTTCAAGATGAAGCTTGACTGACATGCATAGCTAGAATTGGAAGATCTGTCTAATCAGACTAAAATCGTTGTACAGGCAACACACCAGTTTCTGAAGCCACCGTTGTTAGTTTCTTGATTCATATGACTTAAGCACACTTGACATCAACTGCATCAAGATGTGACATTTTATAAGATAAAAAAGAAAAATAAAACATTTAACATGAAATTTTTTTTTTAGTATTTTCAAAAAAGGAAACAATGGCTTTTCAATAAATTGCTTCCATTCTGGGTGTATATAACATAAAAATTACTATAAAAGGAACATAAGGGTTACAGCATTACTTGCATATTTTCCAAGCCAAATATACATTTGCTAAATTGAAACAAAAATGATAGAAAATGAGATTGTATAATATGGTATTATCATGTCTAGTAATAAAAATAACTCTAACCTTTAAAAATTATTTTAGATTCTAAATAATGATAATGCTGTTTTTTATTATATTTATTTTCAAGTAATTGGTTAGTTTGCCCAGTGGAGATAATCAGTTCATTTAACTGCCTTTGGATCATGTGTGTCAAATACCTCTAACACATAAAATTTTAAGTAAACATAATGTAGATTATAAAATGTATCAGATATTGTATAACTAACATTGTTTTAAAGCAAATGTATTTCATTGTATTACGTTAATTTATAGGCTTTCCCATTAACAACAGGACAGGTTCAAATACCATTTTGTGAAGCATGGTGTTTTTGCTTATTTTCTTTTTACTTAGGTTTTCTCTGTAAAAAATAAAACAAAAAAATATTTTTTCACAGTCATGCTGATCACATGACCTTATATTATTATTCTCATGTAGATAACTCTACATGCTCAATATTTTATTAATTGATATGGTAGTACAGACTGGTAATAATAGCACCCAAAAGATTTGCTTATTTCATAAGTAATTTTACACAGCAATTTAGAAATAGATGTTACTTGCATTTCATGATAGTAACATTTTAGTATTCTAGCAAAGCGCTGCACTTAAAATTATTTTTATACTATTTGATATGCAGTAAATTACCAAGTGTTTACAGCAGAAACATATACATATATAACATTGCAGGTATATTCTAGAATATTATCATAATGTTGGGTAATTAGTTAAGCTATATTATCAATATAACATTAATGCAGCAGCAGTTTACATATCACTCCACAGACCAAGACTAAGTAAACTAAGCTTCTTTTTGATACAGCTACAACAGAAGGAGGTAACTTATATTGTAGCAATAATATTTCCTGCACAGAACATTTCTGTTAGGTATACAGCCTTTGTGATTGTGGTTCCTAGAATGTCACAACAGTACCCTCCATTAACAGATTTATTCAATGCTGTTACTCAAAAAAGGAGGTCTGTTTGGCGATTTACAACTTCTATGTTAGAGCTGAGGACTGGTTAAAGCTTGAACCCTATTACATGATCAGTACTGATTAGATTGGATGATGGGGGAAGTGCATCCATGGATAGTCATAAAATTGATTAGATATATATGGTAACACGTTCTTAACAACCAGTCTATTTCAGAAGGACTATTGTTGGAACTACAGACAGTTTTATGCCCCTCCACAAATGAATAGCTTAAGTAATTAATAAATAATGTAAATAACTGAACAACACCCATTTGAAAGTGGAAATTCTTTCCCAGAGAACCTCAGAAAACTACACACAGTCTTCTGCTTTTTTGTAAATGATTTGGGTGACGGCCGCAATTAGAAAAAGCTTCTGTGAATGAAAATTAGCTTTCTGGTTTCATTAAGTCAATGAGTTGATTGATGGGCGGTATTCAGCCATTTACCTCTGTGAGTTAAGAGAAAGTGTTCTTACATAGAGAACTTTTTTAGACTTGGTACTTCTTACCATGCCCTCATGTGCACAAGCATCTTATTTACAATTAGATTGAAATTTAAATGAAACAGAAATTTCTAACTATTTATATGTGTACACAAAAAATAGATACTGACCCATTCATTGTAAGAAATAAGTAAAAATCTACAGCTAAAGCCTGCATAAAATGCTTAAAGCTTAACTCCAGGCAAACATTTATATTTATATAAAATCCGTGGTGGGTCATCAGGACCAGCAAGGCCTTCTCTGCTGGTCTAAACAGTGCATAAACTGTCAGAATCACTGACTTACATTTTAATGTATTTTTACATGTGTATTAAATTATTCCCAATGGTCTATTCTCTTCAATTAATAGCCTTTCTCTTTGTTGCAATGCTTCCAGCAGTGTATATTTTATGTTAGAGTTTTTATCCAATCATATTTCAGCCATGATAGCCATCGTGTGTTGCCAGGGACAAATATATCTGCCTTGAGGCCTTCAGAATCAACCGTGCTGACTCGTATAGCTTACAAATGGAAATAAAACTTGCTTTACCAATAAGATTTTGAGTTGGGAACATTGGGGCCATCTAGCAGGCATACAGTTACATATGCCAGAAGAGTTCAAGGGATATTTATTTGATCTTGGCAACATATGATGACTATCATGGCTAAAATATGTTTGGAGAAAGGCTTTAAAGGATAAGTTCAGTTTAAAAAAAAAAATAATAATAATAAATACCCTTTTTTTGCAAGTAAAAACTTGCAGCAGTGGGAATGTGTTAAAAATGGATGGAACATGTAACATGTTACCAAAGGTGAACTTATTCGTTAACATAAAACATGCACTACTGGAAGCAATGCAACCAAGAGAAAATCTATGAAATGAAGAGAATCAACTATTGGGAATAATATAATATGCATTCATGGAAAAAATATATTAAAACGTACGTATACAAATGGACAGACTTGAGTTTCAACATTAGCTTCCTAGGCGATAGACAATAACTTAGTGTTGGAACTGAAACACAGAGATAACCCGTACAATAAAGTAATTGAACTCTTCTTGAGGAAAGAAAGTAGGATGGGTTTTGTGTACAGATAATCAGTAGTTTTGGTGAGTATAATGCATTTTATTTACATTTTTAATACAGTCAATCTTGGCTAATCCAGGGCCTACTTTATGCTGGATTCATTCAGGTAGGACATCACTGAAAGCCTAGGTGTGAAATGAAATACACACTGTTGAAACTGTTGTCTTTTATCTTGTGTCTTTATTCAATCTTACAAACTATGATTTTACAGCTTTCCATTCAGTCCTGAGATTTACACATGTCCATTTTACAGTATAACCATGTGGATAGCTGTTCATACAGTTCAGTCCTGAGATTTACACATGTCCATTTTACAGTATAACCATGTGGATAGCTGTTCATACAGTTCAGTCCTGAGATTTACACATGGGCACATGTCCATTTTAGAGTATAGCCATGTGGATAGCCTCATTCTCTGTTAAAGTTAAAGAATTTACTGCTAACACCTCAATGCCCACCAGTTGGACTGTGAAGCAGCAGACTGATGAGGTCACTCCTCTGCAATAGCTTCTTACCCTTCCTGTTAGCTACTCCTGTCAACACACTTGCATGCAGCACACCTGATTGGGTCCAAGTGCTGTCCCTCTCTCTCTTCTAATCTGCATGCTGCTATACAAGGTCAAATGTAGGAACATACACTAGCCACATTTAAAAATTCATTTACTGTATTTTAAATCTATGTGGAGTTCAGCTTTAAAGACGCCTGCAAGGATTTTCATAGCAATAACACAAAGAAAAAGGTACTTCTGTACCCCAGACCCAAGGTATTTTTTAAACAAAAGCTTGAGCATCTTGCCCTGTGCTGCTTTGATACACAAACAGCACATGAATAGTATATTTTTCTGCTGTAGAGCACTTGGTAATAACAAGGGTTCCCAATAAAAACTTGGAGTAGCAGAGCAGTAGGTGTTCAGGATCACTCCTATTGTCACATACCTGTAATTGACAGAGTGTGCTAGGAACTGTTTACTACCCTTCAGCAATAGAAAGATAACATGCCTAATATTTATAGAAAGAAAAAGTAATATTTATACCTATAGGCATGGAAAGATAACATATATTTGTGAATTATGGTCAAATGTTTACATTCATTAATTTACTTTTATTGGCAGTTGCAAACAAATTTGTTTTGGTCGTGTATTATAGCTTAGATTGGGCCATTGATTGGGTCTATTAGAGATTAGACACTTAGTGGTAGCTTCTCTAAACAGCATTCAGTGGAGGTGGTTATATCATTCTGCTATGAAAAATAGAAAATCACTTCCATGCTTGTTTTTTAAAGATCAATACCAAACAAAATGCATTTTCCCTTTTTTTGGGAGAAGTAGGACAGGAACTTTCCTATTCTTTACTACTGTACAGTTCCCTAGTAAAGAGATATTCTGCCTATACAGTATGACAAGATTGTTTTTTTTTCCATCCAGGATTCTACTGTCAGCAGCTTAGGTTTCCCCATATAATCTCTCAGATAATGCATTTTAAGGGAGATGTTATAGTTTATATGTAGAATTATTCCCACTACTAAATTTACAAATACTTTACCCTGACTAGTGACAATGGTAGCTTGGTTGAAAAACATCTAAGAAGGTCCTACAAAGCTGTAAAGTCCCAGTAGGATATTGACACCCTAAAGAGAAATGCACTTTGAGAGGTGTTGCAGTTTAATTTCCCTAGTGGGAAATTCTGATTTCTTGTCTCTCCACTCCTTTTATCCGGTGGTTAGAAATTTACCAGCTTTAGGGGCAGACTTCTATGGGTCTATTAGTCCAGGCAGAGAGAGGTGAAGGAATCACCCAGAAGTGTTCACCGTGCATGTAGTAGAGCTAAG